TAGCAAAAGGTTTTAGACAAAAGTTTACGTTCATCTATGAGAAACTGATTATCAGGAAAAACTTGTGTCTTGTACTCTATTCGTTAAAAAATGAGAATATAATGATGCAAAGATGGTTCATGACCAAGCGATTATAATGGCTTATTGTGACCGACGTTAATAAAAAGAAATTATCAGAAAGACTTTTATTGAATGAATTCTTCTCTATTGGTATAAAGTGTTTTGATAAAAGTGACCAAATCTCAATAAAGAGGAGGGCTTGAAACATTTGCGCGTTTTAGTACATACTTAAAACATCCCTCGTATGATCATCGTGATTATATGTTGTAGAAAATGTTCCAGCGAATTCGACAAAACGAGTAACGTCAGTCTCTGGACGTTTAAATGCATCTCTTATTTCTCTATTCGCTTTTGATTCTTCGAAAGCGGTGAGTTTGTAATGATTTTCAATTGTTCGATCGGCACCTCTTTCCAATAGTAATTCGACAACTTTTTTGTTGCCATAGCAGCACGCGGCATGTAATGGTGTTCTACCATTCTCATGCTGTTGATTAATTTCCTTGTACGTCAGATGCGAAAGCATCGACTCAACGGTTGCAGTCTCGCCATTCTGACACGCCAAATAAAATTGATAGGCATCGTTCTGTTTAGGAAATCTGGAGTACCTGCTTCCCATGCGACTGCAAAGATAAACATCAGAATATTATTATGCCAATAGAAACTATTATATGCTCTAGTGCAAAAAACATCACCAAGCCCATCATTTGAAATTTAGATTTTCAACAAGTATGTTAGCAAATCTAATCTAAACTTTTTTTCTAAAGACTAACCTACCAAAGGATGAGAGCGATAGTTACCATTTATGTGAGATGCTAAGCTGTGACACGAGTTATTAATGGCAAGATGTAACTTTCAACTCTACTTTTTTCCTTTTCCACGTAGGTTTATAACTGAAATTTGCGCAGCACGTTTCTAAAAAAATTTGCATTCATCTTTTTTCTATTGACAATATCAAGAAGAGCATAAAAATAAGAATAAAATAAACTAACAAGGGAACCTCGTATAACCCTAAATAAGTTAGGATTGTAGCCCACGAAAGTCTGATCAAAATGAGATATCTCCCAGCTCTACACGACCTTTCTTTGCAAAGTTATAGAGAGAGTTCACAGGAAAAGCCCTAAATGTTCATTGTCACTTCAAAGCCACAGAAAGAAAATGGAAAAATGAATTTAGGGCTCTTCTTGTAAACTCTATAATTTATCAAAGAAAGGTCGTGTCGAGCTGGGAGATGTCTCGTTTTAATCAAAAGTTCGCGCGCTGCAATTATGACTTATTTAGAAAAGGTTTTGGGGACTTTGGGAGGTTCCCGGAAAACTGGCTTTCCAGAAATCGCCTACGAAAGGCCTATGAACTTAAAGGAATATCCTATTCGAAATCAGCATGGTCGATTACCTACAACCCACTACATTTCGTTAAAAAAGTGAGAGTACAACTGGGGAGGTTCCCTCGTAGGTATATTTCCCTGTTAAGTGTACCGGTTCCAAAACTCTCACAAAAATAGTGGTATCGTTCGAAAAGTTTTCTGCTACAACAAAACGATCGCTCTTCTTTTATTGCGGTCAGAATTGCCTTTAGAACAGCCGATGGAAAAAATGGTTTTAGTCGGTGCAGTACTGAGATTCTTTTTAAACAAAATTACTATCCATTTCAAAAATAGAGGCGTGGAGGGAATCTCCCGAATAGTTGCGTATCTCTCAAACTTTCAATCGGGAAAAGTTAGAAATTTTGCTACTGATAATATCGAGTCGATTGCATAAGTTTAGTCGTTGTACAAAATATAGACACAGAACAGTGGGTTTAGTTTTGCAATTTCTGCAAAATTAAAATCATGTATTCGAATCTCTATTCGTACAAAATTAATTTTGTTTTTAGAAGACTATAATAGGATATTCTTCCACTTGTATTCTGACAGAATAAAGCCTATATCAAAGTTAGAAATAAATGGAAACATATGTTATCTGCTATGCTGAATCCGGTAGCTATGTTAATTTTTGGAATAAAATTAAAATACCTACTGAAAACCTCTGTCAGGTGAAATAATAACCCATTTTTAGCTGTTTTCACCGAACGATTTTTAATTCACTTAAAAATTATCCAGACTACTCCACGTATAAAAGGTAAGATATACTGGGTTTTACCTACACTGCATCATAGAGTTTAGTAAACATTTAAAAAATTCAAAGAAAGTAGTTTGATTTTTGGAAAGGTTTTTCTAGAAATCTTCCGAAGCAGAAAGTATCTTTTAATAATCTTATGTCCATAACGAGATTGAGCGAATAAAATAGAGTACATCTTCATATTCTGAAGTAGTTTGGATAGTTTCAGACTGAATTCGAATGTGAAAAGAATATGTTATACGCAAACTGGAAAACTCATGCCGAAATTGAAAACTTAATAATACACTGAAGAGTCGAAAAGAAAAGCCTGTTTTATAATTTCAATTACATATATTTGTATAGTAGAGTTATAAAACGTCAAATGAAAAGGTTAAAAAGAATATTTTGTAATAATGTAGGCAGATTACGCTTTCAGGTTCTGATTCTTTTCTAGATCATTCATGTCATCTAATATCCCTACAGTCAGAGACCGGAAAAAGTGACCTGGACCTGGACCTGTGACCTAAAGCCTTGAATCCGTATTTAAATATCTATCTATCTATCTATCTCGTGCTTCTCACATATTCTAAGAATTCTTCTTGAACTCTAATATGGAATATTGCAACTTCACACTACTCTCAGAATTTTCAGACAGTGGACCTAGCGTTTCGATCACAGGCTCAGGTTCGGGTAAGGTCCAAGTCTGGGTCTATTCTTTTCGAGAGCAGGTTTGCGGGTCAACTGTATAGGTCAGGACCAGATCCGAGGCATAATTGTTCATTTCATCAAATAATAGTAAACCACCCAAAAGTTAAACTTTCTAGTTTCTCCTACAACTTTTGACCTTGACTTGTGCAGGTCACAGATCCAGGTTCAGGTATCCTGTCTCTGTCTATAGTTCTAGGCTGAAGTTACTACTTTGTACTTAGTAGCGTTACAATTGTGATCATACAGATGGGAGAGATAACATAACAGAAAATATGCATACCTCTACTTAACACAAGTGGAGCTTTTTCCGCTAATTGTCAATAATTGCCGTCAGTATGTTCATTGTATTATTTTTATTACACGTTGCTCTCGGCAGTATCCACTGTTTAATATATTCTATCATTATTTTATTTGTATGAAGTGCTATAATCTTAAAGTTGTTTTTTATTGACGAAAAACAAATACTTTTCCTTTTCGTTTTTGTTCTCGAAATAACTGAGAATGAAGCAAAGTAACAAAGCCAATGCTGTTGTAGAAGAAAAAAGAATAATTGACATTTTCACAGTTGGAGTTTTTCTTATTAACAAAAAAGTATGATTCATCCGACAGTGCATAAAAGAATGAACTATTCTTGAGAGGTGATGAGAGAAGAAATACTACATGGACATAATACATTTTGTTGCATGTCAACAGTTACATAATGAAACAAAAACAAACAAAAAAGTCTTGTGTAAGAGCGATATTATTGAATACAACCCATCATCATTTTCAGAAAACTTTAATTTTAAATGTAAAATATTCAGTCTTTTTTTAATTTACGTAGAAAATTTCAAAAATATTTTGTAATCAACTCGTTATAGTTGCTCTTATGATAGATGCAGGCTTTTGTGAAGATGAACTTCCAGTATGTTGAAGAAAATTCTATAGCGTGTTCTATATTCAAAAACGGTTTTCAAGGTTTTATAAACTTGAGTTCTAAACTTTATCGTTTGTCAGTGGAAGTTGCAAGCGAAGAAGCTACACATTATTCCTTCACTGTTAACGAACATTTTTTTCTCCTTGAACATTATCAGCTAGTTTTTTCACGGTTAATGGGTAAAACAAAAAATGACCAATAGAACACCCATTTAACCTTTGAGGATTTTTAAACCAAGCAATCGCCGATATATCGCCTTAAAGGCGTTGATAATGGTACATATCTCGATATCTTCATTGTTAATCGCGATAAATTCTACGTCACGATCTTTCAGACGGTTTCGATAGATCGCGATGTAAGTTATTACCGGGTTATCTCTATGATTTATCACGATGCAAAAAAATGTTTCGTTTGCCCGCGATAAATATTTATCGATCAACATCGCGATAATGTTTCGTATCCCGTCAAGTTGTAGAAATATCAGAATAGAAGAAGTAGCTAGATAAAGCATAATGTCTTTTTATCAGAATGTGTCGGGATGTGTTTCAATTTCGCGATACGCTCCTGTTTATCACCATACAGATGACCACAGGGGATAAGGCGCACTGATGTTTTTACAGAGTTTTAACGCCATCTAAAGCCAATCGCGATTTGAGCGTGGAATAATGTGATACTGTTAAAAAGTATTAAAATACAGACAGAAAACACGTTGACTAGATTCAAATAAAGTAGGAGAACGTGAAGAACGTAATTTTCTCATCATTTTTTAAGTATTTTTTTTTAAACTTTATTTATTTATTGATGAACTTTTAAGTATTAAATTTTTATTTGTTTTTTATTTTTTAAGTTTAAGTGTCGCTTCGTACACTTACTATAGTTTAAGTTTCTTTTCTATTTCGATCGAAGAATGATGAATCATAGTAAAAGAATGTTTAACTGAAGACTTTTTTTGAGAGTAAATATCTTTTCCTTTTTTAACATGAAACACGTGCATTTATAAACAGTTTTTTATTACTCGTTTTGTTGCATTACATTCAATCGCCAACACTTTTGAGTTCTGATTGTTATTATGTCCCTTTTGGAACTAATGTTCACCAGTTCTCGAAAAGCTTTGAGGCTTTCTTATGTTTACCTTCTCGTTTACAGATTCCTCAACTAGTCTGACCAACATACATTCCATCAAAATCACAACAGTCATATCTATAGACCACTTTTTTTGAATCTTTATTTTTCCATCTAAATGCTGAGCTGAATATTTGTGGCAAACTAGATTTAAAGGCAAAACTCGCCTGTTTCAAAGGGTGTTTGAGAATAGTCCGGACTGTGTTAGTTAACGTCAATGCTAATTTTACACCCTTAAGCACATTATTTACCAGTAAAGTGATTAGAGGTGTAAAATTAGGTGAAAGATATATCATATGTAACATTACTCATACATAGTGAATGATGTATCCTACATCAACAAATTCACGAATCGCGCAGCCGCTAAGAAGTCGCTGTTGTCAAGGTGCGACCGTGATGAACTCTTAATTTTCGAAAAATTTGTAATCCGCTATCCAAAAGCGACAATAGAGAGTTTTTAGCGATCGCGGCGCGACTTTGCCACCCGAGCACGATTACTGAAAGAAAAAATTGTCATCGAAATCGCGATTGCTTTTTTTCTCTTCCAATCGCGATATGATGCAGGGTCGTTGAGCGACTTCCGTGCAAATCCTATAAAACGTTTTGTTTTGTTTATATGCCAGGTGTACAACTCTCACTGATTTCTCGTGTCGGGACATGTGATAAGAAAGTGAACTTGGGATTTTTTGGCATATCGTTAAAAGGCTGTTAATGAGTCATTTCATGTTTGTTATTGTTCGCCTGCGATGGTTTAACTATGGGACTATATGAACA